GAAATCCTACTAAGACGTGCAGAGAAGAAAAATGCAGGTAATATTGTTGGCAAACGCTGCAGCCTGGTACAAAGCTTGATTCTCTGAGTCAGTGGTTTTTTTCCCTCTGAACTTTGTGGTTGAGAAACTAGTAAGCAGCAATGCATAAAAGCAGAAAGAGATTCTGGAACTTACGCATGAGGGTATAGTCTTTGGAAACCCAGGGGCAAGAATTTAATGAGTCTTGTCTGCTCTGCATCATATTGTGGTTGTCCTGCATAGCCGGGATTTAACTGCTCTCTATCTACTTCAATCCAGAGATGAAAATACTGATTTCTTCCTTTTAGATTTTAGGATGACTGAAGCAATTTTATTATGAATTGAAAATCCCTCTCCAGATCAGATGAGTAAATAAAAGGGGGAGGACTTTTAGGTAACCTTGTCGTGAACCGATTTTAAACGTTAAATACCTGGATACTGTAGTAGCAGAGATCCGTAAGACAACTTTGATGAGATATTAGCAAACATGGACAAAAACCTTAGCAAATTATAGAGGGGTGTGAGAGAATTTTATTTTTTTTCAGAAAGCACACACATCTGCTCCTTCTTCTGTAGGTATTCATTGTATTAGAAAAGAAAATTTGGAGGACTTCTGCAATAAGAATGGCGACAGGGAAGCATGATGTGGACTGAGAATTTTATTAAACTCAGAATGAAATACTGACTATTAAAAATCTAGCAAGAATTGTAAGAAATTAGGCATTGGAAACTGATATGTGTATATAGAGTCCTTGCTCCTCAATAGGATGTCTTAGTTGTTAAATGGTAAGGAATTCAGAGAACTGGTGAAAGAACTCAAGCACCTTCCACATTATGGGATTTCAGGCAGAGCCCATTCAGAGTTATTAATCAAGGACTGTTACAATCATAAAAAAGAAAGCTTATGCTAGTAAAATAACAATAATTTAGGTTTATTCATTTCACAAGTAGTAGTTGTAGTGATGACTAATGCAGGTAAGTTAAAATATTTTCATGGATTTAAATCATCAGTTTTCACTGCCTTTTAAACAAACCCCAAATACTCAAATAGTTTTACATGATTCCTACTTTTTGAGATCCCAGCCATGTGTCCTGTGGGGTGAACAGGGAAGGACACTAATGTTCTTTTCTTAAACAATATCAGGGCACTTTTGTATCTAACAAAGCCACTGCAAAGGTACCGTTCATTCATAGGGGACATGGAAGACCAAGCCCTTTGGACTTCAGGTGCAAGCCTGAAAAGAAGATTGTGAGGTCCCTCATGGCATGAGAGATGAAGGTGGGAATTGTGAGTAGCCGGGAGGGTAGGCAGTAAATGCCTGGGCCTGTCCCCGCTAGAAGGAACCTGTGGGGCCAAGTGCCTCCCACAGCTCTGTGAGCATTCCCAGGGTGGGAGTGCTCAGCACCGCAGCATTCTGCCCAGAAAGCCAAGAAGCAGGAAAATGAGAGGGGAGGAAAGATAGCCTGATGCTCATTTTTAAAGTGATAAAGCTTGCAGCAAACACATAATATGTTGGAGTGTCCATTGGCTTCTGACACCTGTTGGATGCTGGTACCGAGCAGAGGTCCTTCACTCCAGCCCTGGAAAAGCATCTCTGCACATATGTCTGTTCAGTGTGTTGCTGACAGCTGCCTGCACATTCTTCTTATCACACTTCAAGACTATAAATTAGATCAGAAGTTAGAGCTCCAATGATATTTATAGGGGAATTTACTTTTTTTGGTCTAGCAAAGCTAATAGGATACAAGGCAGGGATCCAGCTTTCAAAAACGCATGAAATTCATTTTATAATGCTTTTAGAAAGGAACGGATTTGAAGCAGAGAGAGCCTTGACATATCCCCCAGTTGTGTTTGTTCCTCTAAACAACCATTAAAAACAGACCAGAGTTGGGTTTTTTTGAGTAAGTGCTTTTGCTCTTCTGTGTTATTAAGATTACTAATACAGGCTGCTGCTGCTGTCTCCAGGAAAAAAAGAAAAAGAAAAAACCAACAAAGCAACACATTTTTTTCAGTTCTTCCCTGAGCTTCTTATAACAAGTGCTGCTGATCAATTAGCTAGTTCATTAAAAAGTTACACATGATTTTATTGAGGCAAGCAATTCTGAATCAAAGAACCCAATTCGCAGATCTAGGTTGAAGCACATAATTGGCATGTATTTTAGGATTGCTGTTAAAGCTATAAAATAGATTTACTAGGGAAGGAATGGATCCAAAAACCCTTAAGGAAGGAATATATTATTTGTGTGACTCAGTGTTCCAAATGGACTCATTTAGTACTAAGGTCTTACCTACATTAAAACAAAAATCTGAAATAAATGTAAAGCTTCTTTGATTTAACTTCTTCAGCAAAAAGTTATCCTTCATCTGCTTAAACACAAATTACATGTGGTATTATTGCATTTCTTATGCTATTATTTTCATTATTTCTATCAAAGATATGTTTTTATTAAATCATTGAAATTTAGTTAAGAAGTTGCCAATGTGTAAACTGTAAAACAAAATTATATAAATATGTTCACCATGTTGTTGAGATCCACGGTGAGTCTGATATTAAAGCCCCAATTCTACAAATAGTTGTGTATGCATGATTTAGTGGAGAACCTTACACATGTGCAAGTAGGACATGCTTGAGCATTTGCGGGGTGAAAGAGAGCAAAGCGCATTATTCAAAGGATGTTTTAGAAACAGTGATATTTTGTTCTAAGTTTACAATAGGACAAATCTTGAAATTCAAGGAAAAGAGTTTGGTTTAAGGAAACTTTATTTTTAAATACTTGGAAAAAGATATTTACTGGGGAGTTTATGCAAGATTTCTTTAAGAGAAAGAAAGCTGGTTTGGTTTTGAACTGAGAGACATAAACAATCAAGTATTAAATATATTAAAATGGGCATAGTAACTACTTTTAGTTATGATTTTGACTGCTTGATCATCATACTGTAAAAGCTTCTGTAGCTGATGTTGCTGTTGGACTTTGTGTGATGGCATTGAGGCATTTTTTCAACTATTAGCCATCCCAAGGGTTCTTTTCAGACAAAATGTTATGCATCAACTCTTATTTCAGTGTAAGCCTATTGAATAGCATTCTTCTCCCTGCCAACTTGGCAGCAAGTTCTTGTGCTAATAAAAGAGGTTACCCCAGATAGAGATCCCAGATGTGCCTGAACTACTTTTATTAGGACTATGGAGGGACTTAGTGTTTCCTTCTAACAGTTTTCAAAAAAGGTGTGGGCTTGCCTTCATAATTGCCCAATGAATTGTATTACATCACTGGATATTTTTTTTCCCCTCAAATTGAATAAAATGTTAGATGTGTTAGCACAGAAATACTGATATTCAAAGCAATTCATGCATTTTGCCACAATACAAATGTTGATTTGACCCTACTGAGTTCTGAGAGGGGAGAGTATTGCTTTTTAACCTTGAGTTGAGAGTACCTTCATTCCTTATGTAATAATGAGATTCAGTATCATGATTAGAATAAGTAGCAATAGATGTTTCTCAGAACAGCAGCATACCTGTGGCATATGACGTACTTGACTGTAACATGAATTATTTCTTGAAACTGTTGTGTAGAATTATTATTGTGCTTAGTGATAAAATCAATGTAATGTTTGCCTGATGTGGGGCTATTGTAGGCTGGAATGACACATCTTTTTTTTTTTTTTTTTTTTTTTTTTTTTTTTTTTTTTTTTTTTTTTTTTTTTTTTTTTTTTTTTTTTTTTTTTTTTTTTTTTTTTTTTTTTTTTTTTTTTTTTTTTTTTTTTTTTTTTTTTTTTTTTTTTTTTTTTTTTTTTTTTTTTTTTTTTTTTTTTTTTTTTTTTT